TTCCTTCCTTCCTTCCTTCCTCCCTCCCTCCCTCCCTCCCTTCCCCCTTCCTTCCTCCCTTTCTCCCTCCCTCCCTCTCCCCCTTCCTTCCTTCTTTTTCTTTCTTTCTTTTTTCCGAGACAGTTTCTCTGTGGAACACTGGCTGTTCTGGACTCGATTTGTAGACCAGACTGGCCTTGAACTCACAGAATTCTACCTGCATCTGCCTTCTGAGTGCTAGGATTAAAGGCATGAGCCACCATGCCCGGCTGACCAACTTTTTTCATGGGTGAAACTTTTTAAATGGTTTATTTATTTATTTTATGTATATGGGTGCTCTATCTGCATGTACACGTGCATGCCAGAAAAGGGCATCAGATCATATTATAGATGTGTGTGAGCCACTATGTGGTTCCTGGGAATTGAACTCAAAGACTTCTGGAAGAGCAGTCAGTGCTCTTAACTTCTGAGCCATCTCTCCATCCCCTCATACATTAATTTTATAAGGCTTTATATAAAGCTTTTTGGATATCAGTAAGCCCTTTGCTCCCGCCTCACTGTCCACTCATGGAGACGGGCTGAGGTATTATGGGTGATTGGTGGAGATTCAGCATCTGTGCTTGGAACATGCTCTTTGAAGAATTTGTAGGGTAGAGATTTTCTTTCAGACCAGATTCCTGAATCCCTGTTTAACAGGGTTCGGTTAAAAATGAATGATGGTACCTCTGCACAGATGTATCCCATGGCAGCTCAGTGTCCAAGGGGGTTCCATAATAATGGGACAAGGCCTGTCTCTGTCATGAACTCAGTGGCTGGCTCTTTGATCACCTCTCCCTGAGCAGGGAGCAGCCTTACCAGGCCACAGAGGAAGACAGTGCAGCCACTCCTGATGAGACCTGATAGACTAGGATCAGAAAGGAGAAGAGGAAGACCTCCCTTATCAGTGGACTGAGGGGAGGGGCATGGGTGGAGAAGGAGGAGGAAGGGTGGGATTGGTAGGGGAGGAAGGGGGATACAAAGTGAATAAACTGTAATTAGTAAAAAATTTTTTAAAAACTGAAAAAAAAAAAGAAATGATGATAACAGGCAAAAGAAGGAGGAACTATGACACATGTCTGTCCCAGAACTTAGATACCATGTGAAGAGAGCAGCCTATTAGAGTCGGGCAGAGGGAGGAAGGTAGCAAAAGAAAAGCTGTTCCTTCCCAGTAGGGCATGGCTCCTTTTATAAACCCATTTTTATTTTTCTCTTTAATTTGCACTTTGTTCTGTTATACCAGGTTATCCATCCCATGGGGTGGGATGCATTTGGATTGCCTGCCGAAAATGCCGCCATAGAGAGGAATTTGCACCCAGAAAGCTGGACCCAAAGGTAAGTGCTTAAGACATGCTTAAACACTTATATGGAAACCTTTTTAAAATATTCTGTTTTCAGCCTATGCACAAGAGAAAACAGAAAGCAAAAAAGAATGCAAAAATGAAGCACCATAACATTGGTAAGTTGTGGAGGCATAAATAAACAGGATTGTGTGTAATAGTATTTGTGTATTTAGTTAGTTAGTTATGGGGAAGGTATGTGTGTCACAGTGCACATATAGAAGTCAGGGGACAATTGATGGGAGCAAGCTTTCTTTTTCCATCACGTGCATTGTGGGGATCAAACTCAGGCTGTCGGGCTTGGTGGCAAACCCCTTTACCCATTGAGCCATTATGCAGCTCATGATACTTTTAATGCTCTGTATTCCTAAAAAATACCAGAAAAGGTTGGTGTTTGCTAATTGAGAAGTGGTTAGGATACTTGTTATTTATCAAACTATTCTTTCTTGGAGCATTTACCTTTGTGAGGAAAACAAGGTGGGGAGAATTATTATATTTGTTCAATTTCGATAGTGCTTTTTGTCTACTGGACCTGATTCTGAACCATGTCCAAAAATGACATTGCGATTTTCTCTGAAGATTAAATTTTTGTTTTCTTCATTTATAGCTACCTAAGTCTGATAGGTATGTCTTTTCCTTACTGCCCCGTGGTTCAGACTTCCTAGCCCTCTCCCTGTTTTTTTACTAACATGTTGAACACCTTATACCAGAATCTTCTGGGACCCTTCATCTTCTCACCCTTCAAATGCAGGGTCTTCCTTTGGAACCTCCGCTGCCTCCCCTCTTCTTCCCATTCCTCGACTTCCCTCCCTTCTCTTCCCCTTTCTTCCTTTCCCTTCTCTTCTCCTTCCCTCCCCTCCCCTCCCTTCCCTCTTTCCTCCTTTTCAGTCTCATTTCCTTACTCCCCTTCTTTGTGTAAAATACATACACACGAATGTATAGGTATAGGACCCCGTACATGTGTCCACCTGAGTATGTCCACTGGGAATCCAAAGCAGAATGCCAGTTGTCTTCCTGTTTCACCTTACAGTCCTGAATTAGGGTCTCTCACTAAGCTGGAAGCTCACAATTTCGGCTAGTCTGGCTGGTGAGTGAGCTCTCAAGACCTCTTGGCTCTGTCTGCCCAGTGCAAGGGTTATGGCAAGCAAACAATGGCTGGTGGGGTTTATACTCAGGGTCTTGCACTTGTGAACTCAGCACTCTTACAGTCCCATTACTCCCTCTGTCTTCTCAGTCCAAGGCTGCATGGCAGCAAACCCACTGTACTCCCTACGCATAATACAGTTAATTCTAGATTAATGGAAGTGATAAAAAAAAAAAAAGGAGAAAAGGAAGCAGTGATAACTCTAATAAAGTACATCAAACATGGCAGAAGTTGATTTCAGCAATAAGAGCTATAAATTGATTAATGCACTTCTCTATTATTTAATTTGGGAGCAGTTTTAGGTTCTGATAGAGGGAATACTGTAATTTATTTTGAATTTACCCAATTTATACATTAAGAGTAGGTGTGTGTGTGTATGTGTATAATTCTGGACATTGCACATTGCACATGCCAGGTAAGAACTTCTTCCAATGAACTTCAAACCAGTTGGCACATGAGGGTTTGATTTTGTTGTTGTTGTTTTCAATCATTTTAAAACTTGCTCCCAGGCTGGAGGGATGGCTCAGAGGTTAAGAGCACTGGCTGCTCTTCCAGAGGCCCTGAGTTCAGTTCCCAGCAACCACGTGGTAGCTCACAACCATCTATAATGAGGTAGAGCACTGTATATGTAATAAGTAAATTAATACATAAATAAAACTTGCTTGCTTGACTTAACTCTGTAGATCTGACACATGGAAAAGTCAGGATCACACATTCAAGAGATTGTTTGTCAGAGTGGCTGAGGGAAGGAGCTGCCTCCAGGGCCAAGACCACCTAGTGGGTGGTCATGTCCGGGTCATGGATATCTGTGGCATATTTATATTTTACTGATTCTTAGGTATTGACTAATTTTTTTCCTCTGTCAAGGCAAAAACAACGGTTAAGCTTCCTTGACTGAGCTGGACTTTTTAGGTGTTTAAAACATCCCTAAAATGTAGTTCATCTGTGGTCCTGACTCCCTCTCAAAGTTACACTTGCTTCTTCTTTTTTTTTTTTTTCACAGCAATATTAAACACATGAGAAAACAGCTTGACAACCTTGGCCTGTGCTTCAGCTGGGACAGGGTGAGTCAGCCTTTCTTCCCGGGGTCTGCTCAGGGGAGGGCCTGATCACATGGCCTTTCCTCCTATTTGTGTTGGGAGAACAGAAGGGAACTGAGAGGTCACAGAAGGGAAGGCTTAGCACTCCCCAAACACAAAAGAATCCTGACTGGGTACTTTGCCTGTAAACAAATAATTTTTCTGTGGGAAACTAAGAGAGTTAACTTCTTATTTGACTTCATAATGGGCTGTGCTGTATGTGTGTAGCAAAGGCTTTTCACAAGTATTTATGGCTCACAGTTTAAAAGGATTATTGGAATCCACATAAAAGTGATTAATATTAACCTGCTGGTTCTGTGGGGGATTAACTGGCCATTTATGTATATTTTGTTCTGAGTTCAGATTGATGTGCATGCAGCCCACAGTAATTCTAGCACATACAGTCTTTGGAGTGTAAATATTCTAAAAAGTTACATACCATAGCCAGTGGGAAATTCCAGACTCAGGAGGGTTTACCAATGACTACTTGGGAGTCATGCCAACTGTGAAAAGGATCTTCAGAGACCCAGGCCTTGGAGGAGTAGGCTGCTGAGTAAAAGAGACTACAGTTTGTCCTTTAGTGAAAGGCCCCTTCCATGCCATGATCCCTCTTAGCACCCCACTCACTCAGCAGAGTGTGGGGCGGGGGAGTGTTACTGAAACATTGGGATAAATGTAAATTCAAGCCCCCTCCTTTCCTAGTAACTCTTGAAAGATTGAAATGAAATGAATACAGTGGAAAAAGACAGAGGCAGTGCAGTTCAAAAGCCTTTGGCTTGTTTGGTTTGGGTTTTCTTTTCCTTCCCCAGATCATGTTGTCTTGAGCACCCAGTGGGGAATTTGTTAGCAGAGAGTGAAGTGCAGGCCGTCACAGTGAGCCCCTCAGGGGTGGTGTCCTTGGGGGCAGAGATAGACTGTTGGATTTTTGTCATGGTAGACGTAATACCCACCACAAATGACTTGAAGCTGTAGGATTGTGGTGGTAAATTTGTCATCTCAGAGAAGTGAAAGTTTGTATTGATTTTCATAACTTGTTCTTGCTCTTCCTCTCCCTCTGCCCCCACCTCTGCGTGAGCCTGTACGTGTGTGTAGATATGTGTTTGTTGTGTGAGGGAGGGTGGGTGTTTTGCCTGTATGTGTCTGCACCATGCACTTGCCTGTTGACCATGGAGTGCAGAAGGTGTCAAATGCCTTGAAATTGGAGTCACAAATGGCTGTGGTGTAGGAAATCAAACACAGGTCATCTGGAAGAGCTTAGTCATCCCTCTAGCTTTTCAAATCCAACTTTTAAAAACTGTTGTAGAAGGCTCTTGCAAAAGCTCAGGGTTTGCTTCCTAGCATCCACATGACAGCTCACAGCCAGAGGGATCGATGCTCTCTGAGGGCACTCTACTGATGTGGCACGCTTACATACACGCTCACAGCACACTTAGTACACGTAAGATAATAATACTTTTTTTAAGCCATTGTTATAAGTATCCTTTTTTTAATGATTTCTTATAAAACAGCCTGTTTACACTTTCCACTTTTGTTTTCAGGGATTTTAGTTTTTATAAGCAAGGGTACAATGAAACCAATGTTTCTGGTCCATGGGTAGAAAGAAAGGGGATGAAACTGCCAAGGATATCTCTCAGAGCAGGTAGCAGGGCAGAGAGAATTGGAAAATGGCAAACAAACAAACAAAAAAAGAAACAAAACAACAAAAAATTGGATTTCATATGACAGCAGAGTTGGGGTGGGGGCGACTTTGAGTTGGTATAAGCTGTTTGGATTGCCTTAGTAATTCAATTAGTTGACATTTGGGGCAGCTTAAAGGAGGTCACTGGTACTTTAAAGGAGGCGCCTGGTAAATAGACACCAGGCTTTAGGCCTCTGTTTACTCAGCCAGAGTTCTTCTGTTCAAGATATTGGCACCAGCACTGCCATTTTGAGGTTGCTTTGGACCTAATAGTTTTGTTGTTGTCTGCTTTATATCTTGAAATATTTGCTTTCTATTTCATAATCTTGTTTATGACAATTATTTAAATTTAATGATATTTAACATCATCATGGTTAGTTTTCTGAGGCAGCATAAAGGCATGGGAAGCAGAGAGAGCAGATCTGACCTTCAGTGGACAGGGCTGACTGAAGGGGCAGCCTCTTTTCCCTGGGAAACTGAGGAGTCTGCCAAGGGACAAAGCTGGCTGCTCCTCTTTATAGGGGTAGGGTGAGGGACTCAGGAATGAAGATTTTGTGGTAGTATTAAGGGGCTACCTGTCTCTACAGCAGTCTCTTCTTCCTGAAATTGTTTGCCCAAGGCAGAATAGACTATCTTTCTGGGTTGACCAGTAAAGGCTGAGTGAGCACAGCCATTTGTGATTTTTTTTAATATTAATTATAGTTTATTTACTTTGTATGCCAGCTGTAGCCCCTCCCTCATCTCCTCCCTACCCCCACCCGCCCTCCCTCTCTCATCTCCTCCCTACCCCTCTCTAAGTCCTCTGCTAGAGGAGGTCCTCTTCCCCTTCCATCTGACCCTAGCTTATCAGGTCTCACCAAGACAAGCTGCAATGTCCTCCTCTGTGGCCTAGTTAGGCTGCTCCTCCCACGGGGGGGGGGGGGTGTCAAAGAGTTAGCCACAGAGTTCATGCCAGAGATAGTCCCTGTTCCCTTACTAGGGTACCCACTTAGCTACTGGGCTGCCCATGGGCTACATCCGAGCAGGGGTTGTCATCTGTGATTTTATAGGAATCCCATTTTACAACCGGCCACTCAATCAATCAATAGATTCTTTAGAGTACAACTGTCCACTTAAATTTATGAAAGAAAGAAAGAAAGAAAGAAAGAAAGAAAGAAAGAAAGAAAGAAAG